AAAACTGTTCTGTACTGTGTAGAAGAGTTTAGAAGAAAGCCTTGAGAGACTCAAATTATTTCTAAGTATTTAACTTAGATATAAACCCCCAATATTTAAAGAATATAAAAAAAAAACCTAAAAAGTTAAGATCCTATCACAAACTGCTAGGCATGTAAAGAAGAAAAGATGATTTTAATGATGAGAGAAAACAAAAAATAGACTCAGAAATAACAAAGATGACAGAATACATAACAACCTTAAAACATCTATCATAATTACATTCTACATATTAAAAAAGGTAGAGAACAGCATAAGCAATATAAACAAAGATGCTGAAAACAAAAGAACCAAAATCGCCAATTTTAAAGAGGATAAAAAAATATATTGTCTAGGAAGGTAGTGCTAACTCAGCAGTCTTAGCAGCAACGGCATAAGCCTGCAGAGGTTCCTTGGTTGGTTTCCCATACTGCAGCAAGCAGAACAATACAACCCCCCAAATTCCAATACCTAAGAGGAAAACTATACAGTGTCTAATGGGAATAGCAAAATAGATATAGCTAAAGAAAAGTTTAATGTACTTAAGGAAATAATAATCAGAATAGAAATATTCTAAAATGAAACACAGCTGAAAAGACTGAAAAAATGAAGGTGAACATTGCGTGAATGATTAAGAAAGCTGAAGTATGTGTGATTTAAAAAATACAAAAGCGGCAACCATTAAAAATTTTAATTATCTTTGTATGACATACTTTCAAAGAAAAAATCTTATTGAATAACTACATCAATAAACTCACAAAGTTACAACTTACAAAGTTTATAGATATATAAGAAGTCTAATAAAATATATCACCATCTAATTAACATATTTCAGGATGCTTCATGGTGCCGAGCTGACAGAAACAATCATCAGTTGTTTTGTGATCAAAGGATCAAAAGACATTTGGGCACTTTTATTAGTAAAAATTACTGTTTCAACTACTAAAATGATTATGTAAAAATTTAGTATTTACTTTGATATATAACTTAATTTAGCTAACTGGCATAATTGGAGGCTTTAACATAATTTTGTTTCACATGCTTTTGAACAAATAGAGTTTTACATACATTTATCCAGATACTTATTTCTTGTTTTTCCTTCTAATTCTTTTCTATTTAAAAGTATTTAAAACCAAAAGTATATACTGGGAAAAAAATCCAGCAAGTTAAGAACCTATTTCTATAATAGTAGTACTGGGAGACAACACCCATTCCTTTTCTTTTTAAAGAAAAGAAACCAAAGCAACAATATAATCTCATCTTTGTATAAAAGATGTAACAAAAGACAGATTAGAGAAGATACATCAGATTTTTATATTTTACAAAGTACTATTGAATATCTTCATTTCCAATTATGCATTGATTGCTACATTATATTTCTTTTACTTATACTTACATCATTCCAGACATGTATTTTGAATATTAATATGTTCAAATCTCAAAAAAAAAAATCATACCATATGGCCTTCAGCTCGTGCTTTATTCTGCATGGCTTCCCGTTTTCGCTGTAGGAATTCTTCCACTTGTTTAGCTCTTTCTACAGTTAGCTGCCCTTTTTGCCTATTTTGGACAAACCGCAGAGTCAGTCATTTTGAGCATTAATTAATTCAAATGGTTAAAAATTTTCCTTATTCTAAATATTTTTTTCCATTATAGAACATGAAGAAAGGCTGGTACAAAATAAAAATTTTCTACTTACAAACATATGAAATTATTTTAGAATATACTTATAAAAGAATCTTAATAGTTTATATGCTTATTTAAGAACTCTATTAAACATAGTGAATCTTCTTCCATTGGTATTGAAGTGAAATGAAAGCAGTATAGTAGCAATTTTCAAAAAGAATGAAATTTATTTAAGTGTGAGTTTCCGAAAATATAACAAAAAGCTGTCTGAAATTCCTGAATATCACAAATATTAAAAAGTAAAATGGATAGGAAAAAATTAACAACACAGTTACTTGTTTTAGTCTTCTGATTTTATTCTTATATCTCTGACAATTATGAATTAATATAAACGTGTGTTTAGACTACAAATTGAAAGTCTAAGCAACAAAAAGGTATTAATAATAAACATTTATTGAACATCTACTATATGTTGTGCCAGTTACCAAGCTTTAAGCATGGGGGGGATACAAAAATAAATAAAACTCAGGTCTATAGTTAAGGGACTTTTAGCACGCCTTCAACTGTGGTTAATTTTTTTGTTTTGTTTTGGCAGTACTAGAGGATGAACTTCAGGCCTCACGCTTGCTAGGTAGGCATTCTACCACCTTAGCCACTCATGTGGCTCATGTTGAGTATTTTTGAGGTAGGTCCTGACCAACTATTTGACCAGGCTGGCTTTCAGTGTGATCTTCCTGATCTCAGCCTCCTGAGTAGCTAGGATTACAGTAAGCCACTGGGTCCTGTAAATGTGTTAATTTTGAGATGAGAAAGTTATTGGCTGTACTTTACTTGAATTTTGGCTAGTATGGTGCATAAACTTCCTATAACCTCTCTTTGGGATCATAACTAGGTTACATTCTGAAAAAATACATAAATAATTTTTTTCTACTTTTCAGTTAAGATTTAAATGCTTTTGGTTTTCATGTCTCAAATAACATTTCTTTTAACATTTTAGGTAACAACTACTAACTGAAACACAGAAATTAAGATACAAAAAACATACACCATCACATACCTACGAGTGATCACAGTCTAAAATTTATTTCCTTCATGTGTACTTAAGAGATTCTTATAAAATTTCCATCTAAGGTATTTTCTAGGATTAGATAAGATCCAAATTCTGGTTTAAGGAACATTTTACTATGACTTGCATATGTCTGGGTTGTCAATCTAGTCCACATCACATTTCTGAAGTCAGAAATTACATTTCCAAAGCCATAGCTTGAGTAGTTCAGAACAATGAATGCAAAATTGTTCATGCCTCTGAAGTGTGCATGTGTTGTCCACTAGCATTTATATTATGCACTGTATGTCTGAAGTAGTATAGCTTGTCTGGGCTACAATGCAACATAATTTCCTATATATACTATATCCTTTGCTCTGCTATAGCCCCATTATATTATAACCCCGGTATAAGAAGGCAGATAAAATATTCAAATATCTCAGACATGTCATCTAAAACTAACAACTAGTAATTAGGTCTTGTTGGAGGTCCCTGGAAGCACCAAAACCACCCATGTGCAGATAAAACAGTTGATCTTACTGCTGTGCATCCCCCTGCACTGAATTCCTTCTTTAACCTTTGTAGAAGCAAAAGTATATGTTTTCCCATCCAAAGACATTGTCTGTGTACAGTGCTATTCATTCTGAACCAAATGGTATATGTTAACATGGCAAACTCGTGGCAAAATTACTAGAACCTGATCATATGTATAATCCTTTGATTTACAGATATATACCACTTATGTTATAAAGAGTACTACCTGCTTTATATATTTATTATAGTTTTAAGTGTTGCTTCACTGAACCAATTATTTCCTAAGCTGGTTTAAATAGGCAGGTACATCCTAGCTTCTTTCAAACACAAAAATGTGTACAATTATTTTAAACATAACTGCTTTTCATATTATTAAACAAATATTTATTATCAGCATTTGCTATATTATAAAGATGAATAAATAAAGAAACTCTAGGAAACAAGGTGTTTCATCATTATGAAAATCAATGGGAATTTCCATGATTCTGTTGTAAAGCACTTACAAACTGTCTTTCCACATACATTACTGTTTATCACTTCATATTCACCTAAGAAGAACTAAGAACCACAAATGCTATGTTTTGTTACATCATATCTTATTCTTTCTATTTCTCTACCACTATGAGCACAAAGTGTAAATGCTTGGATTATGGAATGTAGAAAAAAATAAGTCAATCATTCTCGTTCCTTAAACACTACTAAAGAATCATATGCAAAAGCACTTTTATGAAAATTAGACTAGTATTTTCTCAGTTCCAAACTATACACGTAGTATCATTAAAACATTGCCCTAGACTCATAAAAGAGTGATAACAGAAACATTTATATGAAACACAGAAGAGTAGTAAGAAATTAGTAATCTGGAATAACAAAATACAAAGACATTAAGGTAGTTAAGAGGTGTTTCTTTTAAACAGGAAAAGGATATCAAACAATGAGAAAACAGAACTATGGATTTCTTTCACTAAGAAATAATTATTCTAAGAAAACTTTACTTCTTTTCTAACCCTAACAAGAGAGGGGAAGGGGAGTAAGTTTCTTTCCTTTTCTTATTTTAAATGCACAAAGTGGAAAGAAATAATGCTTCATATTCATGCCACAAATTCTTTTATGACAAGGAGCTTTTAAGTATTTGAAGGATGGCTATAAGTAGACTATTTTAAGAGTATAGAACAATATAAAATAGCACTCTAGATAAAACATAATATGAGAAATAAAAATAATATGGTTTTAGGTACAAGAATTTGGTTCTATAGGGTTACCAGGGATAAGAAAATGATGTAGAGTGTGTTCATTAATCTTCCTTTGCTGTCTATCTAATGGAATGGAATTGTCAGCTTTACCCTAGTTAATTAAGCAATACAGAGAATAATTGTAAGAATAAAAGCACTATAAAATACAATGATAAAAGACACTCAATAACTTATCATAAAGTAGTTTTACCTAGCTTGTGGGCCTAATATTAAAAAGGTAGTAGAAAAACCCAAATTAGTAGAATCAGGAATGCAAAAGGGGAGATAACAACAAACACCATGGAAGTTTAGGAAATCACCAGAGACTACCTCAAGAACCTATATTCAAATAAATTTGAAAATCTTAAAGAAATGGACAAATTTCTAGATATATATGATCATCTAAAACTGAACCAAGAGGAAATTAATCACCTGAATAGATCTATAACCCAAAAGGAAATTGAAGCAGCAATCAAGAGTCTCCATAAAAAGAAAAGGCCAGGACCTAATGGATTCTCTGCTGAATTCAATCAGACTTTTAAAGAAGAACTGATACCAAACCTCCTTAAACTGTTCCACGAAATAGACAGGGAAGGAAAACTGCCAAACATATTTTATGAAGCCAGTATTACACTTATCCCAAAACCAGGCAAAGACACCTCCAAAAAGGAGAACTATAGGCCAATCTCCTTAATGAACACTGATACAAAAATTCCCAATAAAATAATGGCAAACCAAATTCAACAACACATCAAAAAGATCATTCACCATGACCAAGTAGGTTTCATCCCAAGAATGTAGGAGTGGCTCAACATATGAAAATCAATAAACGTAATAAACCACATTAACAGAAGCAAAGACAAAAACCACTTGATCATCTCAATAGATGCAGAAAATGCCTTCGGTAAGATCCAACACCATTTCATGATAAAAGCTCTAAGAAAACTAGGAATAGAAGGAAAGTACCTCAACATTAAAAAGCTATATATGACAAACCTATACAGCCAGCATTATACTTAATGGAAAAATGAAACCATTCCCTCTAAAATCAGGAACAAGACAAGGATGCCCACTATCTCCACTCCTATTCAACATAGTACTAGAATTCCTAGCCAGAGCAATTAGGCAAGAAGAAGGAATAAAAGGAATACAAATAGGTAAAGAAACTGTGAAAATATCCCTATTTGCAGGACATGATCCTATACCTTAAAGACCCAAAAAACTCTACTCAGAAGCTTCTAGACATCATCAATAGCTATAGCAAGGTAGCAGGATATAAAATCAACATAGAAAAATCATTAGCATTTCTATACACTAACATGAGCAAACTGAAAGAATATATGAAAACAATTCCATTTACAATAGCCTCAAAAAAATCAAATACCTAGGTGTAAACCTAACAAAAGATGTGAAGACCTCTACAAGGAAAACTATACACTTCTGAAGAAAGAGATTGAGGAAGACTATAGAAAGTGGAGAGATCTCCCATGCTCATGGATTGGTAGAATCAACATAGTAAAAATGTCGATACTCCCAAAGTAATCTACATGTTTAATGCAATTCCCATCAAAATTCCAATGACATTCATAAAGAGATTGAAAAATCTACTGTTAAATTTATATGGAAACACAAGAGGCCACGAATAGCCAAGGCAATACTCAGTCAAAAGAACAATGCAGGAGGTATCACAATACCTGACTTCAAACTATATTACAAAGCAATAACAATAAAAACAGCATGGTACTGGCACAAAAACAGACATGAAGACCAGTGGAACAGAATAGAGGACCCAGATATGAAGCCACACAACTATAACCAACTTGTCTTTGACAAAGGAGCTAAAAATATACGATGGAGAAAAGCAGCCTCTTCAACAAAAACTGCTGGGAAAACTGGTTAGCAGTCTGCAAAAAACTGAAACTAGACCCATGTATATCACCCTATACCAAGATTAACTCAAAATGGATCAAGGATCTTAATATCAGACCCCAAACTCTAAAGTTGATACAGGAAAGAGTAGGAAATACTCTGGAGTTAGTAGGTATAGGAAGAACTTTCTCAATGGAACCCCAGCAGCACAGCAACTAAGAGATAGCATAGATAAATGGGACTCATAAAACTAAAAAGCTTCTGTTCACAAAAGAAATGGTCTCTAAACTGAGAGAACACCCACAGAGTGGGAGAAAATATTTGTCAGCTACACATCAGACAAAGGACTGATAACCAGAATATATAGGGAACTGAAAAAACTAAATTCTCCCAAAACTAATGAACCAATAAAGAAATGGGCAAGTGAACTAAACAGAACTTTCTCAAAAAGAAATTCAAATGGCCAAAAAACACATGAAAAAATGCTCACCATCTCTAGCAATAAATCCACCTCACCCCTGTTAGAATAGCCATCATCAGCAACACCACCAACAACAGGTGTTGGCGAGGATGTGGGGAAAAAGGAACCCTCTTACACTGTTGGTGGGAATGTAACTAGTACAACCACTCTGGAAAAAAATTTGGAGGCTACTTAAAAAGCTAACATTGATCTACCATTTGATCCAGCAATGCCACTCTTGGGGATATACCCAAAAGACTGTGACACAGGTTACTCCAGAGGCACCTGCACATCCATGCTTATTGCGGAACTATTCACAATAGCCAAGTTATGGAAACAGCCAAGATGCCCCACACTGACGAATGGATTAAGAAAATGTGGTATCTATACACAATGGAATTTTATGCAGCCATGAAGAAGAACGAAATGTTATCATTCGCTGGTAAATGGATGGAATTGGAGAACATCATTCTGTGAGGTTAGCCTGGCCTAAAAGACCAAAAATTGTATGTTCTCCCTCATATGTGGACATTAGATCAAGGGCAAACACAACAAGGGGATTGGACTTTGAGCACATGATAAAAGCGAGAACACAAGGGAGGTGAGGATAGGTAAGACACCTAAAAAACTAGTAGCATTTGTTGCCCTTAACGCAGAGAAACTAAAGCAGATACCTTAAAGCAACTGAGGCCAATAGGAAAAGGGGACCAGGAACTAGAGAAAAGGTTAGATCAAAAGAATTAACCTAGAAGGTAAACACGCAACAGGAAATCAATGTGAGTCAACTCCCTGTATAGCTATCCTTATCTCAACCAGCAAAAACCCTTGTTCCTTCCTATTATTGCTTTACTCTCTCTTCAACAAAATTAGAGATAAGGGCAAAATAGTTTCTGCGGTATGAGGGGTGGAGGGGAGGGAGGGAGGGGGGGGGTGGTAAGGAAGGGGTGGGATGGGGGGGGTGAAATGACCCAATGTATACATATATGAATAAAATAAAAATTAAAAAAAAAAAGAGGTAGAAGAGATATATTATAAAGTCATGGATATAAGCAAGGTCACCATAGCCAGTTATTGAGAAGAAAGGAAAAGAAAGCGTAAATAATAGCACAAAGAAGGCACAAGCAAATATATATAATCCATAATGAGAGGGTCTGAAAGAATCCTAAGTGACTATAGATTTCAGTTTACTGAATCAGCTTCAATCAGGTAAAATAATTCGCCAGAAATAACCATGACATACAAATTGCAATAAGAACTAATTATAATAATGTGGATAAATGGCCATCAAAAAGTATAAGCAAAACAGGCATGGTGGCAGGCATCTGTAATCTCAGCTACTTACAAAGGTGAGGCAGGAGGAATGCGTACTTCCAAGAGGTTGAAGCAAACTTGGGCAACACAGTAAGACTCTTATCTCAAACAAAAAATAATGCAATAGACAAAAGAATATTATATTTAGTCTAGAGGAGATCCTGGGTCCAATTTTTCATTGAATAAAGTACTCTCATATCTCCATATAAAAACCCTGGAACACTGTTATTTAAATGAATATTTTGA